CCTCATTCTTGACCTGACTCTGCATCTAATTTGTCAATTTCATTTTTTATGTAAAAAAGGCACAAGATACCAAGAGAGAAGGTTCCAGTTTCAATGTCGTTATTCTCTAGGCTTCCAATATGCTAAAACAATTCTATTGTTAATGCTTGCAATAATTAAATACAAAGCAACCATCTGTGTTTAGCATTCAAAAAAAATTAAAAAAAAAAAAACTTTTTTTTTAAATGTATTAATTTATTTAAATGATTGACATACAAAGGAAATAATTACAGCTGCTGTGAGGTGCAATGTGTTTGTTTCAGAATGGGGATGTATCAAATTGTATGGCACACTGAATGATAGGTCTTTCCATGTATAGCTAGAAGAAATTATTTACAAGATACTGCACTCTGACAAATGATGTGGGAAGTGGGAGGGAGGTAAAGGTAAGTAGGGAAGTCTTTGATGGGTCTCCTGGGTACTGCTTACCTGATTGGCACTCACTCTTTGCATGTTCTTCATTGCAAGGATCTGGTAAGTAAAAAGCACTGTTCAGAGAAAGTGCAGCCAGACTTACACTGGTTATTCATTACACTGTTATAAAACACTTTAGAATACATTCATGCTTTTATATTCATTCTAATAACCAGAAAGCATCTCTACCTATACATATTTACAAAACATAACAACCCTTCAGCCTTACCATAGTGTTAACTTACTGTACTGTCTTCTGAATCCAAATCATGCTGTCACACTATATAAATACCAAATATACCAGATTACAGCATTGCCTGATATGAAATTGCCACATTATCAGTCACCACACATGTGCTTGCTGTTTTATCATATACTGTATAACAAGTCACATTATGACAGATAATGAATAACCAGACATCTCTTTGGATCAGGTAAGTAGTCAGTTATTTCTCACAGGATTAACCTCTGGTGCAATGAGTAAAAGATGGGCATATTACAATCCCACAAATTCCAATGCAAAGAATTTTAGTGTAGCAAGCACACTACAATCTCCTATGAACACAACAGAACACAATAAATGTATTCCGCACCACCCATGACTAGAACAGGGGAGCCTGAATGTGGGTAAACTATGGTACAATGAATAGTATTTAAAGAGCCCAATTGAAATCTCAGCTGGTAAATGTAAATATAAACTGGTCACAGTTTAACTTAATAGAACACATTGCTCTTCTCATGGAAACACCATTGATAATGGACAAATACATTTTGCTAAAATTAACAAGATCAATATGCACTCATGTATGATACAGTTGTGTCCAAAATTATTCAACCCCCACTGAAATTGAGTGTTTTGGCCAGTTTGACATTGCTTTTGATCATTCAGTCATCTTGCTTACATTTACATTAAAGAGGCACTTGTAGGTCAGACAAATATAACATAACAGTTATAATGAAATAACCACAAATGTCTTTTCTGTGCTCACAGCATTATCAGTTTTATTCAACCCCCAAGTGACATTCAATCTTAGTACTTAGTACAGCATCCTTTTACAGTTATAACAGCTTTTAAACGTGAAGCATAGCTTGACACAAGTGTCTTGCAGCGATCTACGGGTATCTTCGCCCATTCTTCATGGGCAAAGGCCTCCAGTTCAGTCACATTCTTAGGCTTGCGCACTGCAACTGCTTTCTTTAAGTCCCACCAGAGGTTCTCAATCGGATTTAAGTCTGGTGACTGCGATGGCCACTCCAAAATGTTCCAGCCTTTCCTCTGCAACCATGCTCTAGTGGACTTGGAGGTATGCTTGGGATCATTGTCCTGTTGAAAGGTCCAACGTCTCCCAAGCCTCAGGGTGTGTGACGGACTGCATCACGTTTCCATCCAATATCTCCTGGTACTGAAGAGAATTCATGGTACCTTGCACACGCTGAAGCTTCCCTGTACCTGCAGAAGCAAAACAGCCCCAAAGCATGATTGACCCTCCACCATGCTTCACAGTAGGCAAGGTGTTCTTTTCATCATAGGCCTTGTTCTTCCTCCTCCAAACATAGCGTTGATCCATGGGCCCAAACAGTTCTAATTTTGTTTCATCAGTCCACAGAACACTATCCCACAACTTTTGTGGTTTGTCCACATGGCTTTTGGCATACTGCAGTCGACTCTTCTTATTCTTTGGAGACAGCAAGGGGGTACGCCTGGGAGTTCTGGCACGGAGGCCTTCATTACGCAGTGTGCGTCTTATTGTCTGGGCTGAAACTTCTGTACCCACATCTGACAAATCTTTTCTCAGTTCCTCAGCAGTCACACGGGGACTTCTCTCCACTCTACGCTTCAGGTAGCGCACAGCAGTCGAAGTCAGCATCTTCTTTCTGCCACGACCAGGTAGCGTTTCAACAGTGCCCTTTGCCTTGAATTTGCGAATGATGCTTCCTAAGGTGTCTCTTGGTATGTTTAACATCTTTGCAATCTTCTTATAGCCATTGCCCTTCCTGTGAAGAGAAATCACCTCTTCTCTTGTCTTCCTGGACCATTCTCTTGCCTTCACCATGTTTGTAACCACACCAGTAAATGTCTAGAAGGAGCTGAGTATCACAGTCATTTTAAAGCTGCCTAATTGGTGCTTATTATGCTTGATTGCTGCTCGGTGACATCCACAGGTGTTTTCAATACCTGATGGAAAGCACCTGTATGAACCTCTGTTCTTCAGAGTGGTAGTCTTTAAGGGGTTGAATAATTGTGGCAATGAAGAAACCACATAAGAACCATTTACTACTGTATTACATAAACAATTGATGTCATTTTAGTTGCATTTGGGTAGTTACAACGTCCTTGTAGGATTTGATTCTGAATACAATTCCAAATGTACACTATAGTCCCTAAACCCCTTTACAGCATTGGGGGTTGAATAATTTTGGACACAACTGTATATGATTTATTAATGTCTATAGACAGGCCCAGACCTTCATCAGAGAACAGTTCAACTAATGTTAAAAGATTACTTAATTATTTTTATTTTTATTAGTTTGACTATTTATACCAATAACAAAATACACATTAGTAGCAAAATCATCTAAAAGATGTTTTGTTTTTTTTAATTTTATAATAAAGAACAATTCGGGTCTGGTGAAATTTTAGCTTCGTTTAATCATTTAAGACTCAATGGGGTTGGTTTACTGAAGGCAAAAAGGCTGTTCACTTTGCAAGTTTGCTGCAGAACATAGTGAATGAAGTGAAGTTCTGCTGGCCTCCATCATCCAATCACATGCAAGCAAAAATGCTGTGTTTTAAAAATTTTCCTTGAATGTGAGAGGGTATTCTTTGCAAGCGAAACTTCACCATTTTCACAAAGGTGAAATGGGGCAAATTCTCTTGCAGCCTATTCGCCTTTAGTAGATCAACCCCAGTCAGTTAGGGTAGGTGGACAGGGTATAAAATAGTCTTTCTTCTACATATATAAAACTTTTATACCTTTATTGTGTAGCTGGCAATACTCCCAGCTGCGAAGGGCTAATACACCCCTGTATTATGCTAATATTACTCTCTACTGAAACTAACTGCAAAATATCTATATACAAGACGAAACAAAATTTGGCTGGTTCAGCAACCGACTGCATTTTGATCCATCTATGGGCAGGCTAGTTGTACTGATGTCGATCTGTTGATCAACTTTAGTACAACCCACCTGTCATGTTTTTTATGTATCACTGCTGGTGGCTATAGCCGCCAGTAGTGATCATTGTATTCTGACAGTGGGGAAATTCCTGCTGTCAGAATGAAATAGTTCTGCAGGAGGGATTTCCCCATCAGCAGTGACTGTGTTGATGCAGGAATCCAGCAATTTTCTTTTTATAAACCTGTGGTTGAAGGAAAAAAATTGCATACTCTATGGCCAGCCTTATTTGAATGGTGCCTTTCACATTTTTATTTAAAGAGCATGTTTTATATTTCCCAAAAATGTTCTTTGGTAGAACAACACTGCTTATTTACAATTCAGAGAAAAACGTCATCTGAAACCAGAACTGAATTTTCTTTCTTTTTTTATTGAAAACTCTCTTTTAAAAACTCTCTGAAGTTGCAAGTTAAAAATAGGTCATGCATGCATGCATACCTACAAAACTGTGTAACCAGTTTAGGTATGAATTTAATTGCATAATTACATTGGTCCACCTTGGACCAATGTAAGCATGCATATATCATACCCGACCAATCCCTATGGAAGCTACAAATCACTGTATTAGCAGTTGCTGCTACTTCATTGATAGCAGCAGTCTTCCAGGTCCAGTGCTTAGCAGCTAACTTCTGCATAGTAACCACAGTGGGTCATTCAGTCATCACTGCTGCCATTCACAGAACAATTGCAATGCAAGGCGTTCTCTTATTGGCCAAGGTAGAGAAGCTGGGTGGCAAAGTCACAACATGCCTAGCTCCTGAAGAAGTATGAGAGTAGTTCCTAGAAAGACTTTCCTGTGAGTTATATATTTACTTGGATTAGATTCTTCAAGATTATATATTGATAACATAACATATACATTAGGCTACCAATGATTTGCAAGTTTGCATGCATGCAATATTCTTAACTTGAAAAACTAAAAAAAGCCTACTGTTTGCTCATGTACAATTTAGGCATTATCGCTAATCAAAAATAGTAAAATGGAATAGGATTTCTATCATCTGCACCCTAGGGACAACTGTCAAAGGGGAGCTTGCACCCATTTAAGAAAAAAACATAGAAGTTGGCTAAATATCAGTCAGCAAATAGAATTTCTAGCTATATGCAATAAATATACTGATTAGTCAGCACTGGAATGTAAACCATTAAAATCATTGCTCCTTAGCATTTGCACTGATAGACCTCTGCTTACACAATTCTTGTTCCCTCACTTGCAATATCACAGACTGCACATGGAATTCCCTGACACTGCTTCATTTCACATTAATATATTTTACACTTGTTTCTAATGGTAATGTGCATTATTTATGTGATACTACTTCTCCAGAAAATAAACCAATACTGCTTGACTAATGTTCATGTAAAAAACAGCACCCCCCTCCGCACCTTACGACATCACTGTTTTGGAGAGTGTTCGTGACTCCATGGTTATCGGATGGAAGCAGCCCAAGATTAGTGGTGGCGTGGACATTAAAGGCTACTACGTGAATTTCAGAGAGGTTGTGGATGGTGTTCCAGGACAGTGGCATGAAGCCAATGTTAAGGCCATCAGCGACAGAGCCTACAGGGTAAGAATAAAGAGTCAATTATAATTCTAAGACTGTGTGTTTATAACCTATTGAATTCAATAATTAATGAAATGTAGAAATGTTTTAGTTCCCTACATATGCTTATGTTTTGCTGGTTTTATAAAAAGACCTCTGATAAATATACCTGTATAAAATACTTGATCTACAATTTGAGATGCCAACCAATTGTTAAAGTCCACTTTTTTACCAAACCTCCCTGCCAGGGGGTCTGATAAAAAAAAATTGTAATTTAGTAGCCTTTCTAATCTTTTTTTTTTTATATGTTATCTGAAGAAATGGATTGGTATTCCATGTCACAGAGGAATCTAAGCATTAAACTTTAAAATACACCCTAAAGTGATATTAAAGGCATTTTTTTAATTAAATAATGACATGCTATACTTACCTGCTCTGTGCAGTGGTTTTACTTGTAGCAGCCCCGATCCTCCTCTTCTTGGGTTCCCGCCAGTGCTCCTGACCCCTCCTTCCTGCCAAGTGCCCCCAGAGCAATCAGCTTGCTATGTAGGTACCCAAGCAAGCTCACTCCTGAGCCACTGCTCTGTGTGTCCTTTCAGACACAGATTGTGGCTCGACCCCACCCCCTCTCTCCCCTCATTGGCTTGCTTACTGTGATTGAAACCAGTGGGAGCCAATGGCTCCTGTTGCTGTCTCATCCAATAGGGAGGAATAGTCCCCGGAGAGCCTAGGATCTTGTGCACATCACTGGATCGCGATGGGGCTCAGGTAAGTATTGGGAGGGGGGGTGGGCTGCTGCACACAGATGGTTTTTTACCTTCTTGCATAGAATGCAGGAAGGTAAAAAAACCTTGAGCCTTTACAACCACTTTATAAAGTCCCCATTTAAAAATGTGCAGTTATATTTTATTTATTTATGCATTTGATGCATGTTTTTATAACATTATATTAGTAATTATATTTTCCAATGAGAGGGTACTTTGGGTGAGGCACATTCTGTAAAACATACAAAAGTCATATACACTATAGGTCACTTTGACTGAACTACCATTCATCATTCTAGAAGATGAAGTGTTGAAACATACAGCTGAATTGCAGAATATATGAATTTTGAAAGCTACCTGCAGGACAACTTAGAAAATAACTCCCCAATTACTTACATTTGTCCTGAAAGAAAATATGTCCTATGTGTCCTATATGTGTTAAAGTGCATCCCTACCTCCTCTTCCTGAGCTTTTTAATTCAGCACTACAAAAAGGAATAAGCAAAAAATGTGAAAAAGTACATTAAAAAAAAAAAAGCGAAGGGTATAAGGAAGTGAATAAAAACTAATTTCAGGTTAACTATAAATTTCAGGCAGCACAGTGGCTAAATGGTTTGCACTTCCGCCTGGCAGTACTAGGGTCGTTGGTTCAAACCCCAACCACGGCACCACCTGCCTGGAGTTTGCATGTTCTCCTGTGCCTGCGTGGGTTTCCTCTGGGTACTCCAGTTTCCTCCCACACTCCAAAGACATGCTGGTAGGTGAATTGATTCCTGTCCAAATTGGCCCTAGTATGTATGAATGTAAGTTAGGGACCTTTGATTGTACGCCCCTTGAGGGTTAGGGAGTGATGTGAATGTACAATAAATATGTAAAGCACTGTGTAAAATTGACAGCACTATATAAGTATTTGAAATAAATAAATTTAAAGGTAAAATAAAAAACTTCTATAAAGCATTTTGGTGCAAAAAAAAAATTAACAGGTATTCTGACTCAAATTGTTATAATAGTGACTAAAGGCTGGTACACACGAGCCAAATATCATCTGTTTTTTGGCCGGTTGAACATTCGACGATCGGCTTCTGTTGAATAAGCATGCTGGAAAACCAGCATCTAATCAGTGCTGGCAACCAATGGCTGTGAGCGCCGATTAGTGTTTTGGCAGGTGCGGGGAAGGGCAGTCCCCTTTTCAGAACACAATAGCTCAGCGGGCAGATCACCGCACTAATATCGCTTAGTTAGTACAGCGACCTGTCTGTTTTTTTTTGTTCAGCCCACTGAGCTGAACGAAAAAGAACTTCTTGTGTGTACCTAGCATTATGCTTTCCTAAGATTTCTATGCCTGGATGGATTCAAGCCAAGACAGTTACTGTAGACAATCTTCATCAAATAGCTGAACTCACCACAAATGGCAGTGGATGATGGTAAAGGTCAAAAGAAATATCACCTTCTTCACTTAGGTTTGTGTATTGCAGAAGTAATAGCAGGAACTGACAATGAGAAGGGAGGAAATTGCATCATGCAAAGGGAAGGATTTGTAATTCATACATGGGGGGGGTTTGGGGTTCAGGGTGGCAGCATAACAATAACCTAATAACTCAAAAACATAGACACAAATGCAATACATTGTCCATATAACTGCTGGAGGCAGTGAAACTGCAAGAAGTTTGCATACGAACAAAAAAAAAAAAGAAAGAAAAATCTAAAGGAAAAAGTGGATATAGAACTTAAAACTAGTTAGGGCTAATTGCTGTAGAATTCCCAAAGCCTAACATGCTCACTTATCTATATATTGCAGTCAGTACAATGGAATTCTAGACTAAGTTCAGTTCATTACATTCGATTTTTTAAAAAAATAGTATTTTCTCTACAAACGTTAAATGATTAAATGTTTTAGCAATGTTAAATGATATTTAATCAAATGAGATAAAGCCCATTTTACTATTCTATTATTTAATGTTTTACAGATATTGAATCTGAAAGAAAACGTACTGTACCAATATCAGGTTGCTGCTTGCAATTTGGCTGGAGTTGGAACACCATCACAGCCAAGTAAACCATTCAAATGTGAAGAGTGGACCATTGCTGTGCCAGGTAATTAATTAACATTTAATATTAGATTTAAACTGGGCTTTAACTGTATTTTCTCTGAAAATATACAAATAGATATTCTGGAGTGTAACATTGATTCTGTTTCACACAATGGTCCTATTCACTACGCTGATGGAGTAGGAGATGTTATGGAGATGTTATGGCTTTCTCCAGACAGCCTTGATAACAGGGGAGTATGCAGATATCAGTCTGATGGCTCTTGCTACTATAAAAAAACAGCTATTGCTTTATTTTCCTAATTTGTGGGATGAGTAAATGCTGGGGTTAGGAAGGTATAGGCTGAGGTAAATTAAGGATTTTGAGTTAGGACCTAAATTAGATCAAGGGATTTCTCTAGAGATAGGTTTAGGGTTAGTTTTAAAGTAGGGTCAGAGGTAGAAATAAGTTTAGAGCTAGAGTTAGTGGCCATATATGGTCCAATTTATACACCCATAAGTTTGTACTGATACCAGATCCTACATTCTCCCGGTCTGTTAATATAAGTGCTACTGAGGCTATAGTTCTAGAAGTGTGCTTTCTTAAAGCATTGCTTATGATATTTAGGAAAGAATCAGGCCATGTAGGATTAGGCGGTGATAATGTTTATTACACAGATTTTTTTGTACCTTGTTAAAATTTTGTGAGCATGCTCAATTCTCACCATTTATAAGAATTAAAGCAAGCAATATTTTACTGTATGTGCATTGCTAGCCCTTGTTGGTTGATTTAGGGAGCAGATTGTGGCACAACAAAATATACATGTGGTCACAAGCTATAGCGCTCCTTCTCTTGCTTCTCATGTATCAATATTGGTAATTTGTGGCTGTAAATACCAGTGATGGACAAATATTGTCAGGAGGGGTGGGCTAGAAATGATGACCGCAGATTTCTACTTCCTACTATTCAATATGAAGAGTTGTTTCATAATTTGTGTCTGGCCATGGGTTTACTTTAAGAATAAATAGAACCCTCACTGTTCATTGGTTTTTTTTTTTTATACTTTATTTGGTGAAAATGTTGACAGCATGAAAATTAAAAAATGCTTCACGTTTCACTTCTTTGTCCATTTATTTAGTGAATAAAGATGTCTACTAAAATGTAAATTCAACTGCACTGCAACTGCACTGAGCAAGGCATTGAAACTAGTGTGAGCATTAAACGGTAATACATCTCTGAATCTAAGGTTCTTTATTAACTTGTGCCCATCAGGACCTCCTCATGAACTTACTCTTACTGAGGTCAGAAGCAGCTCCCTGGTTTTGTTATGGAAGACCCCAGTCTACACAGGCCGTACCCCAGTTACTGGTTTTTATGTGGACGTTAAAGAAGCAGATGCACCAGAAGAGAACTGGAGAAGTGTGAATGAGAAACCAATTCCAAATACCTACATCAAGGTATCGCACAGCTATGTTTTCACTGTAACATTCAGGTTTTGTTTGAAAACATAATTTACACTTAATGTCCAACCAAAACTTTTTGTTAGTTTTAGACAGAGTGGGTATGGGTTAGAATCCCTGTCAAGTTTTTACTGCTGTCTGGAGCTTCTGTCACTTTCTGTCTGATTAACAGTTGTCATTGAGGGCAAATCTGGTTATTGCAACCCTGGATAGCAGTAAAACCCAACAGGAGTTCCAGTTCTTACCCACTCTATCCAAAAGTAGAAAAAAAAAAAATTTTGGCTGGATATACGCTTTAATCTCACAACTCACCCACAACAAATAATATTTTTTATAACATTTTTCTTAGACTGACCTGTATTGCTATAATAATGAAAAGATTTTTCAGTTCAGTACTAGAAACACAAGAAGTAAATATTCACTTAGCTCAGTAAAGCTATTTTGATTCAGACACTCATAGGCAAAGAAAACTGATCATGAACGTGGATTCAGCACAGCCTGTCAAAGTCACCCATTGAAGTCAATAGGACCATGCCACAACCTAAAGACAAATAATAGTTCATGGTTGTGGTTCTCCAACAGGCCACATACATCATTAAAAACTTGAAAGGGGATCTAACCCTTCCCAACTTCCTGCTCATAGAATTTACTCACTGCTGTTCCAAGTGATTTTTATCATATTACAATCATATTATAATCATATTATTTGTTCTGCTCTCAGGAAGTGATTGCAAGAAGTAGTTATTGAAAGGGATTCACAAGTTGATTTCAATACAAATGACAACAGCTAGGAATGTGCAATGAAGTTTGCTAAAACACTGCAATGAATGTAATTGACCAAGGAAGGATTATTTTTTCTCCACAAATGGAGTTATAGATTAGTTTATTTACATTGCCTATTTGTTTTTATCTTATGCATATTCATAAAACATACTTATTTTTTTAAAGCTACTTTAATCATTATTTAAGTTACTTTAATAGATTTTCCACTTTATCTATAGATTTATCCAATTCCCTCTTCAACCTCCTGAGAATTAAAGATCAGGAAATCAGGTTTCCATGCTATTGCGCTATAACATTGACTGCATATAACACTGTAACTGAGCCAGTTTTGTGTTTTCCTACACCTTGGTGCATTGACCATTCAAGCAAAGCAGTGCTGATTGTGTGTTTATTCTTGAGAATTTGGCAGTTCAAAATGCCTTACTGATCTGAAGGTTATCTCTCACACCAGCACTACATGTCTGCTGCTCATGAGTGATTTATAGCTGTGAAACATCTTCCAGATAGGGGAGAGTGGCTTCAATGTAACAATAACAAACAGATCACAGATGTGTAATTTTTCTTCTTACATTTTAATTTGCTTATATACATATAATTTACAAAGTTTGAGTTTTGGCTGTTTTCTGTTTTCAATGTTATATAGACTGGTGGTAACATATCTCCTATTCCAGGTCCAAAACTTGAATGATGGCACTCGTTATGTGTTGAGAGTAAGGGCAGAGAATCAGGCTGGTGTTGGCAAGACATCTGATGTGACAGATCCAGTCCTTGCACAGACCAAACCAGGTCATTATCATCTTCATGTTAATATTTTAATCAGTTATGCTTTTAAAAGAGTACCTAACATCTACTAACAACTTTGCCAGATAAAAACAAAAAAGTTGTCTACTAAAGCGGTTTTCTATTCCCCACTTTATAAAAGAGTGTATGAAGTTATGGTGTGGAAGTTGTTCTCACTGGTACTAGTTTATGGCAAGAGTATATTACAGCTTATCTTTGACAAATGTGATTGCGGACCTTCTGAATGCTTGGTGAGGGTGTGAGCCATAAAAAGGTTTAAGGCACAAAGTTTAAAGATATGCCTGGTATTCACCAGCACACCATGCAAGAAGCAATGGACTTTGCCACAGTTGCAGCCCTTGACCATACTTGTGCAGATGGCAGCTGACCACAGTGTAATACAAAGTCAACGAACAATCTCAGAAATGGGGACAAGGCAAAGCTCAGGATGGGTAGCAAACAAAGTATAGTCAGATACAAGGCAGAAGTCAATGACCAGACAAACAAGAACTCAGGGGCACAGGAGCTCAGGAAGTGGGGCCAGGGCCTAGGAACTGAACCTCAGGCAACAAGTGTTGGCTTGAGCCCAGCTAAATAGTAAGGTTGATTGACAGACTGAATGGGGACTGCCATACCAAAGCACAGGTGTGATCTGGTGATGCCTATCTCCCAGACCTTTGCAGCAGCAAGGCAGTAAAAATTATTTTTTTGAACTACAAGTAACTGATCAGCTTTGCCACTGATCTATTCCATAGCTCCATTCAGCCTCATCCTCCAATACAGTTTAATGCATATTTGTAGTTATGAAAGAGATAAAGACCATCCCAGGTTCAAACAGAATTAAATGTGCTGAGCAGCTTCAGTAAGTAATTAGTTTTTGATTGGTTAAAAAAAAAAAAAAAATCACATGCAGTAACTAATAAAAATACATTTCTAATGACACCAAGAGAAAAGGTGTAATGAATAGGTGGTCTGTCTTTTTTAAGACTGTATTATTAATTCAGTTATCTTTAATACAATATATTGTTATATAGGTATTTATAAATGTATATATTTAGGGTTAATTTTGAATTCAAATATATTTAAATCTGTTAATGGTGTCCTTGTCAATACTGTATACTTTTACTGGTATTGTAGGTACCAAAGAGGTAGTGGCGGAGGTGGATGACTTTGGAGTGATTTCATTGAACTTTGAATGTGATCAGCTAACTCCAGACTCAAAGTTTGTGTGGTCCAAGAATTATGAACCAATAGAAGATGATTCATCAAGAGTAACTATTGAGACCAAAGGTGGCAAGTGAGTAGACTTTGTTGACTGTACAATAGTGCTAAACGTACTGTTTATAACTTTCAAACACTATTACATTTTTGGGCTGTAAATTGGGGCTAAAGCAGTGTATAGACCTGCTTAATAGTAATTAGAGACATTCAACTGGACTTGTTCTGTAATGTTAAAGAAGTTTTTCTACTCATCCAAGTGGCTTACTGTGTTTTAATGAGAGTCCAGAACATACTGCAACATTTTATAGCCAAATTGGTCAATCTATCACCTTATTTCTGGTTCAATAATTTTTATTCAGTTAAAAATAATAACAACAGGAGCACCAGATCAAGGGGCTTAAACTGACAGTATAGGCAATCACAAAGCCTTATATGGTGTCAAAGAAAAAAGAAACAACAACGACTAAACATAGTAGAGGTGAATAAGTGAATTCAATAGTGCAGTATGACATGCACATAAAAAAGGGAAAGGGGGACAGGAACCCTGCAGGAAAAAGGAGAGCAAGAGGAAAGGAAGACAAGGAAACGAAGAGAGGGGAAGGGGGGCAAGGGGGGACATGGACTCAGGATCATCAGAGGGTGTCAGTCGCAGGCGCCCAGTGCTATCTGGGGAAAGTGGGAAGCATGCGTAAGCCAAGGTTCCCACATTTTAAGAAACTTGCCATGAAAGTCCTTGAGGATACTGGACATTTGTTCATCAAGCATCAAAGCAGTCATGCGGTCTCTCACACCCTCTAAATGACCCATGGTTTTTTTCCAGGCATGAGCAGGTTTTTTTAGCCAACAGAAATAGGTAGAATGCCACATTCTGCTGATGGGCATATAGGCCTGGGATGGGCAATGCAATAAAGTAAATATGGTATCCTTTTGAATAGTTAAATTGAACAGAGTGTGGCCAAAGACCAAAAGCCGATCAATCGCTGGTATATCCACCAAGTCTGTAGAACATCCCCACCACAGACACAACCCCAAAAACAGGGATCACTAGAACTAGGATTGCCATGGGCAATTTGGGCTGAGACCCAATACCAAAACAGTTTGTATGCTGCCTCCAGAGTAGCTGTTAAGGTGTTAAAGAAGCATTTTGCTACAGAAGACCAAGTCTTGCTCCAGTCCGCCAGGTCTATCTCAGATTCCAAGTCTTGCTCCCACTGAGTCACATAAGAGAAAGAAGTAGGGGATGCTTGACAGTTAAAGGATGCCCGATGACCCAGAAAATGTTGGCAGACATGTTCCAAAAGTTTTTTTTCTGAAAAGGATAAGTAAAAGTAGGGTGGAGAAGTAGGATCCAGCACTGGAGCTGAAGGTAGCAGAAAAACTCCAACTGCGGGCCTTCATGAGTTTCTCAGAGGGTGGCCCATGTCGGAGAAGACCAGGTGGACAGAAAGTGTCACACACGTGTGTTCACCAGAAGAATGCCTGGGGCTGATCCAGACCTGTGGGGAATAAAGGATTGTTGATAACTACAGTATTACCTTATTTCAATCACCATGGAATGTGTCAAGGCAGATAATCATTGTCTAAGACCAAGATAGGAGGTGTGAACATATGTTTACAACTACACTGTATTCATACCTAATGACCACCTGGATAAATAAAAACATTCAAAGAGATTTATAAGCTGGATTTTTAATATATTATACATGTTCACATTTTTATAGGACAAAGGTCTCGTTCAAAGATCCTTCAGAAGAAGACCTTGGCATTTACTCCTGTGTTGTTACTGAAACCGATGGCATTTCTTCCAGCTATACATTAGATGAAGATGGTAAACTAGATAGAATATTAAACTGCTTGAATTGTAATAAAGACTGATATTTTTTCTATTTATCTTTTTTTCTAAATAAGTAATGCATGGATCAATGATTATAAAGTATATCTGCCTATGCATAATATATAACATGTTTCATACAAAATATAATTTTATCTTTCTCTGCAGAGCTTAAGCGCCTGTTGCAACTAAGCCATGACCACAAATTCCCAAGTAAGCTACCACAAACCAAAGAGATAAATAGCACATCTACAACATGATAACATAATATTAAACAGTTATTTTTATTTAATTTTTTTCTGGATCAACCTTGGTCCATGGACTGCATGTAGGTCTTTTGCGCAGCTGCAGACAGTAGCTTGTGTTTCCCTATTGCCCTGTAATAGTAGTAATTTTTATCAGTCTCATCTGTAGTATGTCCCCAGTTTCTAAGGATGTTCACCATCTGTGACCATCTCCTGTTGCATGTCTGCAGTCTCTAACAGCTTTCTGTAGAATTACATTTACTGATTATTATGCAGCCCTTTAGTAATGTCAGGGGCTGCACTTCAAACTCCTTATAGAAAGAAAGATGCCCACCATTGAGCTAACGCATCAAGTGAATCAGCATTCTTTTTATTAAAAGTCAATGTTTTATTCTCACTGTGAAGCCATACTCTGATAGTGATCTTTTCACTTCCACAGCTTTAATAAATGTCGTTTTATTGAGAAAATAGTCTCTAAATCTTTGCATGTGCTAGAATTGGAGAGGCAAAAAAATCTCCTACATTCATATTTCTCTCCCTTTTGCAGTTATTCCTCTGAAATCTGGCTTGGCTGTAGAGATTCTTGAAAAAGGTCAGATTCGCTTTTGGATGCAGGCTGAGAAACTTTCTGCTAGTGCTAAGTGCAACTATGTCTTCAATGATAAAGAGGTCCACCATGGGGATGTGAGTGATTTTTGTATAATATCAAATACAGTTTAACATGTTGATGTCTAGATTTAGCAAAAAACCTGAAAACAAATTAATTCTATAAAGACTATTAGTTTAATCACTTGAGTACCTGTAATACTCTTCCATCATCAGGCCATATTTCAGTTTTCAGTGCTGTGATAGGTGTAATAGCTTGACTCACAATTACCTAGCCATACAAATTTTACCCAAATTCATTTTATATAATTTTTTATACAGAAAGAACTTTCTTCTGGTGGTGTTTAATAACTACTGTTTTTTTTAATTATTAAATGAAAGACCAAACATTTTTTATAATAAAAAAACAGTTTCCCTTACTTTCTGTTACAAAACATATCAAATAAAAATGCCAGGACAGCACAAAACCACCCAAAATGACCACTTTCTGTAGTGTACATATCCCAAGGTGTTCTAATTTTTCCAGTGTTTGGAAATAAAGACACGTACCTGTATTAAGATGAAGAAGAAGGTGAAGCAGTTAATTCACAGGTCATTGGGAGGATGGATATGAGGGGGGTTAGTGAGCAGGATATGAGAGGTGAAGGAGTTAGTATAGAAAAGAGAAAGATCATGGGACCAGGGCTTTATCTAGCCAGTTGTACCATCTGCATCTCTCTTCCTCCATCCACAGTTGTCACCTTTGCATCCTCCTTCCTCTCTCCACATTTGTCACCTCGGCATGTCCCTTTCTTCATAAACAGCCATCACATTTGCATCTCCCTTCCTCTGTCCACAGCTGTCACCTCTGAATACCCCTTCCTTCATCAACAGTTGACACAAAGACACCATGGAGATCATGGCCAGATTTAGTCAGTTGTCACTTCTGCATCCCCCTTCCTACATCTACAGCTGTCACCTCTGCACCCCTTTCCTCCATTCATAGTTGCTACCTCTGCATTTCCCCCTTGCTCCAGCCACACTTGTCACACAGATATGCTCAGTTGTTATCTCTGAATCCCCCTTCCTCCATCCACAGCTGTCACCTCTGTATCAGATCCCTCCATTCACAGTTGTCAACTCTTCATCCCCCTCCTCTATGCATTGTTGTCACCTCTGCATCTTCCTTCTTCCATCCACAGTTGTCACCTCTGGATCCCCCTACCCTACCACCTTGTCCAAGGTTCATCTGTTCTTGCACAACTTACAACATCACCCCTCTTCTTTGCCTTCCTTATATAGCAGCCATGGGTCTTTTTTTTAAAACAAAGTGTAGTGTGTGTACAGTAGCTAAAAACATTTTTGAAACTGCAGCCAATCAGGAGAGATCTGATGCTGTCACATGACAGTGTCAGGAAATCCCAATTGGCCACAGTATTACAATTTGTGATTGATTACACATTTCAATGAATTAATAATTACATTCTCTGATATGTGGAATCATATGCATTTCAATCACTGCAGCTGTCATTCTTACTTCCACAGCAGTATCTCCAGCACACTCACAGGTATGCTCCTGAGAAGGGGGAAAGGGGGCGCTACTATAATCTAGGGGGGGATAGCCCACCTCACTCTGCATCCAGCCCTGATGAAGATGAAATGTACAGGGGAGGAGGGGATTAAAGGGTTAAAAAAAAGTGCAACCCCCTTACCATGAATTCATTGTAGCATCTGTTTCCTTTATTCACAAATCTTCATTAATAAATAGTCTCTTCCTATCCTTCCTACATATGTACATTTGTCATCACTGGTCATCACAATGTTCACAAGGTACAAGGCAGCTCAGATTGCCTCTGTACCTTTCGTCTGTGATCTAAGCTGTCCAATGACAACACAGATCACAGCCATTAACAGGCGCATTGGCTGCCTGTGCCTTTTTTTCTGCTGTACACTTTAGAACAGCACTGCAGAAATACATGTCCACCTATCTATTGCTTTTAAACTTATGATGGTAAGGAAGAGATTAAAGCCGACCCCTGGGCACAAATTCTTTCATTTGAATATGTTCCTCAATAGCCTAAAAGGATATAAACCAACTGCCTTTTACGTTTCCAAGCTTATTGATATGCCTTATAAAAGTAGCAGTGACATAATCACTGGTCTGTACATAGTCTGTGCAGAAAGCTGAGCTATGGGAGAGATCTGGCAAGTCCACCCACTACAGGCTGCCTGCAGAAAACTACAGGGAAGGGCGAATACAAGACCAGTCACCCTGCACAAAAATAGAGAGCAGCAGTGTCCAGTTTTTATATCTGGAGGAATTACACAAAGCACACTAAGATTCAAGTATGAATACAAAACATTTGCTTACTTTGGCTTTCAGAATTAAAGGTTTTCATTTTATAAATAGCATACAGAATATCATACAATTAGCCATTGCAATATATACTGAATATGAACTCTTGCTTTATATAGAAAATATTCTACTCTTTAAACATTGACATTGCTTTGTTTCAAGAAATACAAGATGAATTTGGACAGTAAGACTGGCATTGTTGAGATGATCATGGACACACTGGAGGATGAGGATGAAGGAACATTTACCTTCCAGCTACAGGATGGAAGAGCAACAAACCAGTCCAGTCTGGTTCTTATTGGAGAGGGTATGTAATTAGGCTGTTAGGACTTTTTTTCAGTGTCAACAATAACACAATATATCTAGGCTCCTGGAGGCCCCCCCCAGGGGACAGGGCTTGGTACCAGGGTAGCAGGTCTATCTTGATTTGGAGAGAAGTAGAGTCACTGTATACAGCCTGTTCCTAGGGACTGATCTGGATACTAATACAGTACATATGCTTGCTCTTTAGTAGTATTGTTTGCTAAGGAACTTTTTAGGCTACGTCATGGCCACTTTCAAAGGTTTTACACTTTTGGGAGGTCTATGGAAAACTTACTCTTAAGCTCCCTAATCCTGATCAAGATTTATAAGAACAAACTGCTTCTATGAATTCTTAAATATACATATAGATTTTAGTAAAAGAATAAGGTAGAAAAAACTTTTTTAAAAAAGGTAGTAATAAATACAGGCCTAGATTGTTACTAGATGAGCATTTATATTTTATTTTCAAAATTATAAAAAAAATGCATTTATTTTCCACAGTGTTTGAGAAACTACAAAGAGAAGCTAGATTCCAGAGACATGAATGGATACGGAAACAAGGTAAAGGGAATCAGAACATTTCAATAATTCATGTTTTAACCCATATGGCATATGAGTTAAAATATATATATATATATATATATAGTCATGGCCGAAATTGTTGGCACCCTTGATATTTCTCCAGGAAATCATGTATTTCTCACGAAACGTATTGCATTAACACATGTTTTGCTATACACATGTTTATTCCCTTTGTGTGTATTGGGACAAAAACAAAAAAAGGGAGGAAAGAAAGCAAATTCGACATAATGTCACACAAACCTCCAAAAATGGGCTGGACAAAAGTATTGGCACCCTTTCACAACTGCGGATAAATAAGAATGTTACAAGCATGTGATGCTCCTGTAAACTCACCTGGGGCAAGTAACAGGTGTGGGCAATATAGAAATCACACCTGAAAGCAGATAAAAAGGAGAGACGTTCACTTAACCTTTGCATTGTGTGTCTGTCTGTGCCACACTAAGCATGGACAACAGAAAGAGAGACGAGAACTGTCTGAGGACCTGAGAACCAAAATTGTGGCAAAATATCAACAATCTCAAGGTTACAAGTCCATCTCCAGAGAACTAGATTTGCCTTTGTCCACAGTGCGCAACATTATCAAGAAGTTTGCAACCCATGGCACTGTAGCTAATCTCCCTGGTCGTGGACGGATGAGGAAAATTGATGAAAGATTGCAACGCAGAATAGTCCGGATGGTGGATAAGCAGCCCCAAACATGTTCCAAAGACATTCAAGCTGTCCTGCAGGCTCAGGGAGCATCAGTGTCAGCGCGAACTATCCGTCGACATTTAAATGAAAATGAAACGCTATGGCAGGAGACCCAGGAGGACCCCACTGCTGACACAGAGACATAAAAAAGCAAGACTACAGTTTGCCAAAATGTACTTGAGTAAGCCAAAAGCCTTCTGGGAAAACGTCTTGTGGACAGATGAGACCAAGATAGAGCTTTTCGGTAAAGCACATCATTCTACTGTTTACCGAAAACGGAATGAGGCCTACAAAGAACAAAACACAGTACCTACGGTAAAATATGGTGGAGGTTCAATGATGTTTTGGGGTTGTTTTGCTGCCTCTGGCACTGGGTGCCTTGACTGTGTGCAAGGCATCATGAAATCTGAGGATTACCAAAGGATTTTGGGTCGCACTGTAGGGCCCAGTGTCAGAAAGCTGGGTTTGCGTCCAAGATCCTGGGTCTTCCAGCAGGACAATGACCCCAAACATACGTCAAAAAGCACTCAGAAATGGATGGCAAAGAAGCGCTGGAGAGTTCTGAAGTGGCCAGCAATGAGCCCAGATCTAAATCCCATTGAACACCTGTGGAGAGATCTTAAAATTGCTGTTGGGAAAAGGTGTCCTTCCAATAAGAGAGACCTGGAGCTGTTTGCAAAGGAAGAGTGGTCCAAAATTCCGGGTGAGAGGTGTCAGAAGCTTATTGATGGTTATAGGAAGCGACTGATTTCAGTTATGTTTTCCAAAGGGTGTGCAACCAAATATTAAGTTAAGGGTGCCAATACTTTTGTCCAGCCCATTTTTGGGGTTTTGTGTGACATTATGTCATATTTGCTTTTCTGCCTCTGTTTTATATTTGTTCCAATACATACAAAGGGAATAAACATGTGTATAGCAAAACATGTGTTAATGCAATACCTTTTTTGTGTGAAATACTTGATTTTCAGGAAAAATATCAAGGGTGCCAACAATTTCGGCCATGACTGTATATATATATATATAGAGGGAGAGAGAGAGAGAGAGAGAGAGAGAGAGAGGTGTATACAGTATATAATATATATATATATATATATATATATATATATGTTAAAAAGGAGTACAAGTGTTTGGACCTGTAATACTTTCACTAATCCAGTCTTAGGCAAACTAATATATATATATATATATATATATATATATATACACACACACACACACACACTGCTCAAAACAATTAAAGGAACACTTTGAAAACACATGAGATCTCAATGGGGAAAAATATCATGCTGGATATCTCTACTGATATGAACTGGGTAATGTGTTAGAAATGTAAGGATGCCCATTGTTTGATGGAAATGAAAATTATTAACCTACAGAGGACTGAATTCAAAGACACCCCGAAAATCAAAATTGCAAAAATGATGCAGCAGGCTAGTCCATTTTGCTGAAATGTAATTCCATCAACTCAAAATAGCACTCAGTAATTTGTATGGCCTCCACGTGCTTGTATGCATGCCTGACAACGTCGGGGTATGCTCCTAATGAGATGACGGATTGTGTCGGGGGGTATTTCCTCCCAGATCTGGACCTTGGCATCACTGAGCTCCTGGACAGTCTGATGTGCAACCTGGCAGCATCGGATGGACTGAAACATGAAATCCCATGAAATCTATTGGATTTAGGTCAGGTGAGCGTGGGGGCCATTCAATGGTATCAATTCTTTCATCCTCCAGGAACTGCCTGCATACTCTTACTACATGAGGCCGAGCATTGTCGTGCACCAGGAGGAATCCAGGACCCACTGTACCAGTGTAGGGTCTGACAATGGGTCCATGGATTTCATTCGGATACCGAATGGCAGTTAGGGTACCATTGTCTAGCCTGTGGAGGTCTGTGCATCCCTCCATGCCTCCCCAGATCATCACTGACCATCATTGACCCACCACCAAAACAGTCATGCTGAACGATGATGCAGGCAGCATAATGTTCTCCACGGCTTCTCCAGACCCTTTCACATCTGTCACATGAGCTCAGGGTGAACCTGCTCTCATCTGTGAAAAGCACAGGGCGCCAGTGGCGGGCCTGCTAATTCTGGTGTTCAATGGCAAATGTCAATCAAGCTCTATGGTGCTGGACAGTGAGCACAGGGTCCACTAGAGGATGTCGGGCCCTCAGGCCACCCTCGTGAAGTCTCTTTCTGATTGTTTGGTCAGAGACATTCACACCAGTGGCCTGCTGGAGGTCATTTTGTAGGACTCTTGCAGTGCTCATCCTATTCCTCCTTGCACAAAGGAGCAGATACTGGTTCTGCTGATGGGTTAAGGACCTTCTACAGCCATGTCCAGCTCTCCTAGAGTAACTGCCTGTCTCCTGGAATCTCCTCCATGCTCTTGAGACTGTGCTGGAAGACACAGCAAACTTTCTAGCAATGACACGTATTGATGTTCCATCCTGGAGGAGTTGGGCTGCCTGTGCAACCTCTGTAGGGTCCAGGTATCACCTCATGTTACCAGTAGTGACACTGACCCTAGACAAATGCAAAACTAATGAAAAACAGTCAGAAAAGATGAGTAGGGAAACAATTATCAGTGGCCTCCACCTGTAAATCCATTCCTGTTTTTGCATTTTGGGAAAAATTCAACAGGAAGCTGTTACTACATAAGGAAACTCAAAACACCTACGTTCCAGCAACAGCCAGGGATCCCAGCCTTTGTCTGCTGCAATACTGCACTGACATTTAAAGAATAGTCCATTTCACAAGTGAATCCTGGAATCAGCAAGCTTTTATTTTGTTCTAAACATCAGCAAAGACACAGGGGTTATCTAATAAGTGCATTGACGCACTTCACACAACAGTTCTTAGTCATAACAACAATGCTTACTCATAGGGCCCTAGGTGTGAAATGCGTCAACACAAATATTAGATGACCACTGTCTTTTTGTTGATATTTTGAACAAAATAAAAGCTTGCTGGTTCCAGTTTTCGGCTGTGAAGCATACTATACTTTAAATGTCAGTGTGCATAATTTCATGTTCTAAATAAATTCAGGTGCATTTTTGCTACATACAGAAATGTACCTATGTAACTCATCATGCAAACCTTCTACTTTACATGTATAACTTATGCCTGTTGCATGCATGCACCAACCACTAGAGGGCAGACACTCAACATTTCTGAATGTGCAAAGACAACTGAGGAATGTTTGTGATACTTTTTTTTATTTGTACTAACATTTACATTTTCAGGCCAAACTTTAAAACATTTAAATTTTTTGTTTTGTTACTTATTTTTTAGTGTTGCATATAAAACAAAAAAAAAAGTGCCTTTATTTAATTTGTAAATAACGTAACACTGCACTAGAATCATAATTTAGTGTCATTTTCACAGGACCAATTATAAAATAAAATGTATACTTTTTATCCCCTGTAACCAACACCGATCAAAGTAAAACAAAGATTTTTTTTTGTCACATTATTTGTCTATAGACTGCATTAAAACGACATTTTTTTTTTTTTGCTTAAACACATTAATTTGTTATCTTATGTAATGAAAAGGTTTTGGCAGAAATGTAAATACTGCTCTGGCCAATAGAGGGTGAATTTTTCCCAAAGACTATAGCTCAGGGGTGGGCAAACCTTTTGACTTGAGGGCCGCAATGGGTTCATATATATTGGACCCGGGGCCGGACCAAGAGTAGATGAATGATGTGTATGTGTCATCCATAGTAAGTATAGTAATATTCCCCCATAGTAAGCATAGTAATTAATCCCCCATAGTAATTCATCCCCCCTATAGTAATTCATCCCCCCTATAGTAATTAATCCCCCATATAGTAATTCACCCCCCATAGTAATTCATCCCCCATATAGTAATTCGTCCCCCATATAGTAATTCATCCCCCATAGTAATTCATCCCCCATAGTAATTCATCCCCCATAGTAATTCATCCCCCATATAGTAATTCATCCCCCATAGTAATTCATCCCCCATATAGTAATTCATCCCCCATATAGTAATTCATCCCCCCTATAGTAATTCATCCCCCATAGTAATTCATCCCCCATATAGTAATTCATCCCTCATATAGTAATTCATCCCCCATATAGTAATGCATCCCCCATATAGTAATTCATCCCCCATATAGTAATGCATCCCCCATATAGTAATTCATCCCCCATATAGTAATTCATCCCCCCTATAGTAATTCATCCTCCATATAGTAATTCATCCCCCATATAGTAATTCATCCCCCCTATAGTAATTCATTCCCCCTATAGTAATTCATCCCCCATAGTAATTCATCCCCCATATAGTAATTCATCCCCCATAGTAATTCATCCCCCCATATATTAATTCATCCCCCATATAGTAATTCATCCCTCATATCATTCATCCCCTATATAGTAATTCATCCCCCGTAGTAATTCATCCCCCATATAGTAATTCATCCCCCATATAGTAATTCATCCCCCCTATAGTAATTCATCCCCCATATAGTAATTCATCCCCATAGTAATTCATCCCCCCTATAGTAATTCATCCCCCATATAGTAATTCATCCCCCATATAGTAATTCATCCCCCCTATAGTAATTCATCCCCCATAGTAATTAATCCCCCCTATAGTAATTCATCCCCCATATAGTAATTCATCCCCCATATAGTAATTCGTCCCCCATATAGTAATTCATCCCCCATAATAATATCCCCCATAGTAATTCATCCCCCATAGTAGTAATTCATCCCCCATAAAGTAATTCATCCCCCATAGTAATTCATCCCCCATATAGTAATTCATCCCCCATAGTAATTCCCCCTTATATAGTAATTCATCCCCCATATAGTAGTTCATCCCCCCTATAGTAATTCATCCCCCATAGTAATTCATCCCTCATATAGTAATTCATCCCCCATATAGTAATTCATCCCCCATATAGTAATTCATCCCCCCCTATAGTAATTCATCCCCCAATAGTAATTCATCCCCCATATAGTAATTCATCCCCCCTATAGTAATTCATTCCCCCTATAGTAATTCATCCCCCATATAGTAATTCATCCCCCATAGTAATTCATCCCCCATATAGTAATTCATCCCCCATATAGTAATTCATCCCCCATATAGTAATTCATCCCCCATATAGTAATTCATCCCTCATATAGTAATTCATCCCCCATATAGTAATTCATCCCCCATAGTAATTCATCCCCCTATAGTAATTCATCCCCCATAGTAATTCATCCCCCATATAGTAATTCATCCCCCATATAGTAATTCATCCCCCATAGTAATTCATCCCCCTATAGTAATTCATCCCCCATATAGTAATTCATCCCCCATATATTAATTCATCCCCCATATAGTAATTCATCCCCCATATAGTAATTCATCCCCCCTATAGTAATTCATCCCCCATAGTAATTCATCCCCCCTATAGTAATTCATCCCCCATATAGTAATTCATCCCCCATAGTAATTCATCCCCCCATAGTAATTCATCCCCCATATAGTAATTCATCCCCCATATAGTAATTCATTCCCCCTATAGTAATTCATCCCCCATATAGTAATTCATCCCCCATAGTAATTCATCCCCCCCTATAGTAATTCATCCCCCATATAGTAATTCGTCCCCCCATATAGTAATTCATCCCCCATAATAATTCATCCCCCATAGTAATTCATCCCCCATAGTAATTCATCCCCCATATAGTAATTCATCCCCCCATAGTAATTCATCCCCATATATAATTCATCCCCCCTATAGTAATTCATCCCCCATAGTAATTCATCCCCATATAGTAATTCATCCCTCATATAGTAATTCATCCCCCATATAGTAATTCATCCCCCATAGTAATTCATCCCCCATATAGTAATTCATCCCCCCTATAGTAATTCATCCCCCATATAGTAATTCATCCCCCTATAGTAATTCATCCCCCTATAGTAATTCATCATATAGTAATTCATCCCCCATAGTAATTCATCTCCCATATAGTAATTCACCCCCCATATAGTAATTCATCCCCCCATAGTAATTCATCCCCCATATAGTAATTCATCCCCCATATAGTAATTCATCCCCTCATATAGTAATTCATCCCCCATATAGTAATTCATCCCCCATAGTAATTCATCCCCCATATAGTAATTCATCCCCCATATAGTAATTCATCCCCCCTATAGTAATTCATCCCCCCTATAGTAATTCATCCCCCATATAGTAATTCATCCCCCATATAGTAATTCATCCCCCCATATAGTAATTCATCCCTACTATAGTAATTCATCCCCCATATAGTAATTCATCCCCCATAGTAATTCATCCCCCCTATAGTAATTCATCCCCCATATAGTAATTCATCCCCCCATATATTAATTCATCCCCCATATAGTAATTCATCCCCCATATAGTAATTCATCCCCCCTATAGTAATTCATCCCCCATAGTAATTCATCCCCCCTATAGTAATTCATCCCCCATATAGTAATTCATTCCCCATATTAATTCATCCCCCATATTAAGTCCCCAAGTCCCCCCTGTGTCAATTCACTTACCTTTGCTCCGCGCGTTCCTCTCGCCGTGTTCCCGGCTCGTTCCGGTGTAGCATGAAAATCTGTCTCCTATGAGGATCTGTCCCCCTCGACATATCTGCGCATGTGCCAGTTTCAGGCATTAGCAGCCAATCGGCGATCTCCGGCACATGCGCAGATACGTCGAGGGGGACAGATCCTCACAGGAGACAGATTTTCTTGCTGCACCGGTCTTCAGGGCGGACTGTGAGAGGAGCCTAGCGGGAGCCTAGCTCCGCGGGCCGGATTAAAAGGTCCGGGCCGTATACGGCCCGCGGGCCGTAGTTTGCCCATTGCTGCTATAGCTGCTTCCATTGTGCCCTCAATAACACACGTTGAGCCCTGGTTCACATACATACAGTTTTCCAAGGCTGCATTGCTCGTGCACAGCAGCCCATCCACTTGAATAGGCTGCTGTATCCACTGAAAATGCAGGAAAAAGGTCCATGCACCTTTTCAAAAAATGCACCCACAGGGAGACCGCACAGTTCAGTGTGGGAAACTGCTCTGTGGTTTCCAGTGTGTGGGGGTGCCAGTGATGTCATCCTACCAGATTGAAATTTTCCAAAAGTTAAAAAGTTACAGTTTTAAGTGCAAATTTCAGTATTTAGGCTACAAACAAGTACAATATGCACTTAGCAATGTGATTTGAGGTCGATATGAGGACAATAACATATTTCTTATTTTATTTTTTGATAAAGTAGGTAAGTAGCTCAGGGATAGGACTCTGGAGGGCAAGAAATTAGAATGGGCAGGCACACACATATGAAATTGATTCTCATAGTGACACTGACAGCAGTGTGCAGCAGCACAGTTGATGATGACACTTCACCGACATGACTTGACACGTCCCCTCCTGAATCACAGGCAGCGGCGTCCCTAGGCAGGTGCAGGGGGAGCGCGCTGCACTGGGTGACACCTATCGCATGGGGTGACACCGAACCCACTCCACGGAAAGGCAAATTTTAAAGCAAGCCAACGATCCCCGCAGTATGGATCAGATCTACGGATTGAGCATAATGGATCAGAGTCCGATCCATTATGCTCCCCAATCCGCAGATCCGATCCATCTTGCGGGGATCATCGGCTTGCTTTCAAACTTACCTTTTCGTGGAGAGATTAGTTAACCCCGTATAGGCTGCAAGCCGACGATCCCCGCAGGATGGATCGGATCTGCGGATTGGGGAGGATAATGGATCGGACTCCGATCCATTGTGCTCAATCCACAGATCCGATCCATCCTGCGGAGATCGTCGGAGGGGGTGTCACCAAGGTAACACTTGGTGACACCAACCCTAAGGACGCCCCTGGTAACAGGGACAATCTCTCTCCATGCCAGGTGGTCCTTTCAGTCTACTCCAGTCCATACAGCACTGACAGACACACAAGAAGCTCCGGTCACTCCACTCAGCTCCCTTGCACCATGACATCACACAACATGCTCAGGCACTGCCTCTGCCAGACCCACCCTCTGCTGGCGCCACCCAAAAACACTGTAGCAGATACTCAGATGGTTTCGGCAGGCTCCAGACCAGAACTGTGCATGCGCACTTCTGAGCCGAGTGCCATAGCCATATTTTTAACTGGCAACCTTTTCTTGTCACTTTTATATACTAGCAAGAGAAAAGAGCTTGTTTTTTACTGGCTGCCTGTATAAATACTGACAGTTGGCAACACTGGTGGGTGCCATTAGAACTAATGGTACCCCCATACATCTCCTGAGCAGCAGCATGTTTTACGTGCAGGTGGTTGCATCTGCAGGAACATGTGCAGTGCCGCAGCAGCAGCCACCTGCACAAGTGTGAATCTAGGCTTAGAGGAACAATTTGTTTTGAATTATTATTATTGTTATTCTGATGCTGACAATGAATATTTCCCCTCCTTTCTTGAAAAGGTCCTCATTTTGTGGAGTACCTTGCATGGGAAGTTACTCCTGAGTGCAATGTTCTTCTGAAAAGTAAGGTAAGGAAGAGTTAAATGGATAATGTGAGTTCCACTCATCTGTTTATATTATTTATTTATTACAGATACTTACATGGTGCCATCAATTTACACAGCGCTTTACATATATACTGTACATGCACATCAGTCCCTAACCCTCAAGGGGTTTACAGTCTACGGTCCCTAACTCACATTCATACATATACATACTAGGGCCAATTTTGACAGGATCCAGTTAACCTAATGGTATGTCTTTGGGGTGTGGGAGGAAACTGGGGTACCAGGAGGAAACCTGCACAGGGAGAGCGTGCAAGCTCCAGGCAGGTTTTGCTGTGGTTGGGATTTGAGCCAACGACCCTAGTACTGCGAGGAGGAAGTGCTAACCATTTAGCCACTATGCAGCCCCCATCTTGTCTAGTTTATGCCCACCTTGTTTCTTTACCCATAAATGCATTGATATTGTCATAGTATAAAGCTGGCAATATGTGGTTAGTTTCCATTCAAACATTTGTAGAAAAATCACTTGTCAAACATTCTTTCTTGCCATCAACTAATTTCATTCAAAGCACTTAAGGTCCTTTAAATGGGAGCACATTGCTTCGTACAATCGGGGGATCAATGAGCAGTTCCCTTGCTGAATGGGATGGATGTAAGTTTTGTGTCATCTGAGCCTGTTCTGTTTTTTGTCTGCATTTTGCCTGCAGACTGTGGTGGACCTGTGCTGGATCTATGGGCTGCAAGATAATTTTCCCTCCTGAGGATTTACCCCCCTTCCTGACCAGGCCATTTTTTGCATTATGGTGCCGTGTTATTTTAACTGACAATTGCGGGGTCATGCAACGCTGCACCCAAATGAAATTTACGTCCTTTTTTTCCAAATGAATTTAGCTTTTTTTTTGGTGGTATTTGATCGTTTTTTATTTTTTGCACTATGAAAAAAAACGACAATTTTGATAAAAAAAACAATATTTTTTACTTTTTGCCAATAAACTTGACCAGCCAAAAATTAAAAAAATTTAATTTTGCCATAAATTTAGGGCAAAATGTATTTTGCTACATGCTTTTGCTAAACAAAATCCCAATACGTGTAAATTAATTGGTTTACATGAAAGGTATAGCGTTTACAAATGGCAGTATATATACTGGGATTTTTCTTTTTTTTTTTTTTATTTTTACTAGTAATGGCAGCGATCAGCAACTTATAGCGGGACTGTGGGACTGCGGTGGCATTCTGACACTGAGGGGGAACTGACTTGGTGTCACTAACATCCCCAGTGACACCAATACAGTGATCAGTGCTAATAAAAAGCATTAACACTGCACTAATGGCACTGGGCAGGAAGGGGTTAAATCTGGGGAGATCAAAGGGTTAACTGTGTGCTGGGTGGGTTTTACTATGAGGCTGTGTCTGTGTGCTTCACTGTAAGCACACTGCTTTGTATGGCTGTGCTGTGCACAGCCATGCAAAACAGTGTGCACGAGCTGACAGGGAGGAGAACTGTTTTGTTTACTAACTGTTCTCCCCCTCGGAAAACAAGTCATATACACGCACACAATCAACATATAGTCATGCAGATACCTTTTATTCAGCATTTAAACCATTACATAGTCTATGCATGTGAAACCAAATGAATACCTGCCCCGGCACATCATAGCATTCAACCAGCACTCCAAGAAATAACAGAATCCAACTGCAATATTCTTGCACTGTCAAAACCTCCACTTTTATTATCACACAACACACAGGAGGATATATCTTATAGTCATCACAATCTGCATAATAACACACACCAATAATAATGTGAGCATTACAGCATGAAACAGACACATCATTTGATAGCATCACAGCATAGAATTAATACATTACCAAAGCTATGTTAGAAGCTGGAAGGAACAAATCCCATTGGAACCAAACTGCCCAGGGGGTCACGGAGAAGCCGTAGGTGCGACCAGTCAATGAACCCATATAACCTTGGCAAAAATCCCAGCGTCAGATCATCCTCTGACCACTAAGGGGGGGGTCTTCTACTGGTCTTGCCCGGACCTCCGCATTAAAAACCCATTTTACTGGAAGCGGTCCAATAGTGGGCAGCTCCACACCCACCACAGGAGGAGCTAGCAGAAGGGTTCCACAAGGATAACAGCGTCACATTCAACCACCATATTCGTTATCTGAAAAGTCACACTTTTGCTTCTTATCTACCCCAAAACCTCTTTTCATCTCCCCCAGACTTAAGGATTTCTACTTTAATCAGGTTTTTATCTCCTACTGTGAGGTTATTAGATGTCACTCTCAGCAGAATATCTTGTGACTTTGTTCCTTTGACCTAAAGAAATGATACATCAGTCACCTCTCCTGCCCCTGGCACTTGGGCAACAATGCTTCATTGTAAAAATTACCCAAGAAACAAAGGGTCCAAGGCCAACACATTTCATATGTATTACACGGTTTATCATATAGTCATTCTTCAGGGTTCTGATGGGAACTGAAAATTTTAGGGTCCCAGTTCAACCACAAGCTGACAGTTGTGGGTCTCAAATTTTACACGGACATGTAAGACTCCATTCTAAATAGAATCACACACTGGTCTGTAGTATATCTTGGAACGTTTTTCTAATATTCCAGGAAAATGGTGTAATTTACATAATGACCGGCTGTATTTTGATGTTTTAAACATCACTCTAGGTGGCTAATATGAAGAAAGAAACCACAATTACGTGGTACAAAGATGGCATGGAGATAATGGAAGATGAGAAACATGACTTTAAGGATGGCGTATGTACGTTGCTCATTACTGAGGTAAGTCCCCCTGAATATATCTCTAACTATAACTATGATATACAGGAATTTTATTGCCCCTAAGATGAGGCCCATCACTAGGAGAGTGCTTGTAATAATATGAACGTGTTCATGGTGACATCATTAATCTGCAACGAGGATCAACCTATATATTCATATTTATATTGCCAGATAACAAGGAAGGATGCCGGTATATATGAGTTAATACTGAAAGATGACAGAGGGAAGGACAAGAGTATACTCAAGCTGATAGATTCAGGTAAGACTCGCTGGACAAGTTTCTGAACACCTGCCTGCTTCTAATACTTGTCTGTCAGTACTGAATAGTTTGATACATTTGTTTTCTTAATTTGTTTATATGGAATAGTACGCCTCTGGGTATCTATTATTCTGTGTGGTTAAGTATTTTCTCTTAATTTTGTAACTATTTTAACCACTTAGGGTCAGAGGATTTACCCCCCTTCCTGACTAGGCCATTTTCTGCGATACAGCATTGCGTTAATTTAACTTACAATTGCGCAGTCATGCAACGCTGCACCCAAATTAAATTTGCTTCCTTTTTTTCCCCACACATAGAGCTTTCTTTTCGTGGTATTTGATCGCCTGTGCGGTTTTTATTTTTTGCGCTATAAACAAAAAAAGATTCGATGTTTTTTTCGTCATGATTTTAGGCCAAAATGTATTCTGTAAATTAATTGGTTTACATGAAAGTTATAGCGTTTACAAATGGCGGTATATACTAGATTTTGTTTTTACTAGTAATGGCGGCGAACAGCGACTTATAGCGGGACTGCGATGGGCATTCTGACACTGGGAGGAACTGACTTGGTTTCACTGACATCCCCAGTGACACCAATACAGTGATCAGTGCTAATAAAAAGCACTAAAACTGTACTAATGGCACTGGGTAGGAAGGGGTTAACATGTGGGGTAATCAAAGGGTTAACTATGTGCTGTGTGCTCTTTCACATTAGGTGCTGTGTGTGTGTGTGTGTGCTTCACTGTAAGCACAGTGTTTTGTATGGCTTTGCTATGCAGAGCCATACAAAGCAGTGTACAGGAGCTGACAGGGGAGAGAGCTGTATAGTTTACGGGCTATGGGCTTGGAAAAATCCATATGTAAACAGATAGAAAACTGGCTAAAAGATCGTATTCAAAGAGTAGTGGTTAATGATTCATACTCTGAATGGCCTAGGGTTGCCAGTGTTGTACCCCAAGGTTCAGTGTTGGGACCCTTACTTTTTAATATATTTATAAACAATATAGGTTCTGGGATTAAAAATCCCATTTCAGTCTTTGCAGATGACACCAAGCTATGCAGTGGAATAATGTCCTTACAGGATGTCTTCAATTTACAAGCTGACCTCAATGCACTGTTTAATTGGGCAACTATGTGGCAAATGAGGTTTAATGTTGATAAATGTAAGGTTATGCACTTGGGGGCTAAGAATATGCATGCATCATACATACTGGGGGGGTACAACTGGGGGAATCAATGGTGGAGAAGGATCTGGGAGTTCTGGTAGATCACAAGCTTAATAATGGCATGCAATGCCAAGCTGCGGTTTCTAAAGTGAGCAAAATCCTCTCTTGTATTAAAAGAGGTATAGACTCCAGAGAGATATCATTTTCCCCCTGTACAAATCATTAGTAAGACCTCATCTGGAATATGCAGTTCAGTTTTGGGCACCAATTCACAAAAAGAACATTGGGGAACTGGAGAAAGTACAGAGAAGGACAACCAAACTGATAAGAGGCATGGAGGAGATCAGCCATGAGGAAAGGTTAGAGGAACTGAATTCTCTCTTGAGAAGAGGAGATTAAGGGACGATATGATCAACATGTATAAATCAGTGGTTCATATAGTGAACTTGGTGTAGAGCTATTCACCCTGAGGTCATCACAGAGGACAAGGGGACATTCTTTATGTCTGGAGGAGAAGAAATTTAATCTCCAAACACAGAAAGGTTTCTTCACAGTAAGAGCTGTGAAAATGTGGAATAGACTTCCTCAAGAGTTGGTTCTGGCCAGCTCAGTGGATTGCTATAAAAAAAAGGCCTGGATTCTTTCTTGGATACACAGAATATAACTGGATACTAACATTTATAGGTAAAGTTGATCCAGGGAATATCCGATTGCCTCTCGGCCTCTGCCTGCAGGAGCAAATTGGATCATGCTTTGCTGGGGTTTTTTTTGCCTTTCTCTGGATCAACTGTGGGCATAGGATTATAACTTTTTTTTTTTTTTTTTTTTTTAATGGTTGAATTGGATGGACATTTGCCTTTTTTCAGCCAGACTATGTGACTATGTAACCAAAGTTTACATACAGCTCTCTACCCCTGTCGGTATTACTTGGTGATCACTGGGTGCCGGCGAGTAATCACCAGCCAGGACTTGGTGATTGACAGCCAAGGGCATGATTGGCCACCTACCCAGAACTGAAAATCACATAAATTTACGTGATTTTGCGCACATGTGCCACCCTGTAGAAGTATTTCTGCTATAGGGTGGACGGCAAGTGTAAAAATTAATCACGTGCACAAGGAAAAGGTATGTTTTTTCTTTACAAAAAGTTAAAGCATTTGAGGCCTTTTTCTGTTTCCTTTTTTGTAATTTTACTTCTCTCTGCTATTTCCTTCCTCGATGCTACTTCACCTTAAAGCAGACCTTCACCCCAAAAACCAAATTATTTGCACCTGGCTCCAACCCCGCCCTCTCCACAATTAGATGCACTTTTTTTTTTTTAGTGTTCTTGATTTTTTTGTGAGCGTTGTTGCACCCAATTCCATGCATGCACAGATGTGCTGAAGGGTACTTTCCGGCCTTTGGGACCAATCAGATGGAACAGTTATGGAGGTTCAAAATCTCTGTTTTCTCTGCACTTGGAATGTGCTCAGATGTGTCATAGGTCTTTGCCAAGTCCCCATGGCTGGACAGGGCCCTTCAGCACATTTGCGCACATGTCAAAGATGGTGGTGCCAGTGTGGGGGTCAAGGCCAGCATTACAGAGACTGAATTTAATTCTTCTACAGTGTTACTGGCTATTATTTTTCTCAGGTTTACCGACACTTCCACCTCTTTCTTCCCCCATACATCTTTCATCTGCAGAAATGCTTCCTACTGCTGTCTTCCTCTTTACCCCTGCTTCTTTATGTATATATTCAACTCTTCTACAGTGGTCCCCTCTACCCATAAACATTTACCCATATACCAATATATACTCTTTCACCTCATACTTTTCTCTTCTACAGTTACTGCCTACCTCTATACCTACACTCATATTCATACCCCTATTCACCCCTCACGTCTCCTGTGATACTCTCTGTTATTGCCTTCCTCTTTAAATAGGCCATTTAGTGCCAATGCTAATGCCGGGCGTATGCATGCATGTGTGAATGCTTCCACGCTACACGGAATGATGTCACCATTCTTCCTGTAGGATTCCTGGGAAATGACATGTACCCCAAATCTCATAAGACACTCTTGCCTAGTGGAAGAGTGTCATCTTACTACATTTGGGATCCTCTTTGATCCCAGGATCTCACTGGAAAAATTGTGACATCACCTAGGCACTGTGGGTGGAATACGGGATTAATGTAAGTATATTAGCTAAATTTACTCCTTGCTTTTCCTTTTTTATTACTTCACCCATATTCCTACATCCTTATAAATTTCTTTAAATCATATAGGATCAGCAACAAGGTGAAGATGAATTGTAGAAAGTTTTTATTCAGATGCGGAGTAAAAATAGTTCCAGAATGCAAGCAACACTTACGCGTTTCAGTCAAACAAGACCTTACTGATAGATATTATGAGTAAGGTCTTGTTTGACTGAAATGTGTTAGTCTTGCTTGCATTCTGGAACTATATTTACTCTGCATCTGAATAAAACTTTCTACAATTCATGTTCACCTTGTTGCTGATCCTATATGATCTGATTTACTGGTTTCGCATGGTGAGATATATATTCCTTGTGGAAAACATGCTATGAAGGTTGAAGCACCTATCCTTGTATGTGTGATTTTATACATTTCTTGCCAGTGTTTTTTTTTTCTGCTGCCCCCTTCTTTACCGATACCCTTTCACCTCTGTATGCTTCTGTATGTTTCTTCTGTATGATATATTCCTCTATCCATTTCATCTCTGTGCTCCTGTTCTCAGCAATGTAAGAATCGCAATACACTTCACAACCTCACCATACAATCAACTTTAGATTTACCAAAACTTTGTAATATTATGGCCTAGTTAAACCATCCGATCAATTTGTATTCAAACAGGCAGGCCTTTGCAGTACATACCTACACCTACATAAAGGATATTGTGCAATCATATTCTAATGTGTATGTGAGTCTATTCTACTCCTCTTCTACTGATTCATCATTATACTCTTTTCTATTTTAGTGGACCTTTCTATTGCAGCCGTCCTCTTCACCCTGTTTCCTTATCCTTTTACTTCTCTCTTCTACAGACTCTCTGCAACTATCCTTCTCTCTGATTTTATCCTTCATTTCATCCTACTCTTAAGGGCCCATTAAAACCACACCCATCTGGTTGTAATGTTCAAGCTAAAATCCAATAGTCTCAGTTCACAGGACTCCCAAAAAACACAATAAATTGTTTTGGCTTCTGCTGTGTAAAAAAAAAGCACATCAACAGAATGCACGTTAATGCATGCCAACTCATTTGCAAATAATGCGTGTCAATGTGTTCTAAATGCTATGCACATGGTGTTAATCTGGCATTACTGTGCCAACTTCAACTGTAAAACTTTTTAGAACTCCTCTAAATAGCAGTGCCATTTCTCTCCCATATTCTCCACTTTCACACATGTAGCTACTGCAGAAGTGTTGTTTTTTAGCACATCGTTTTATTACTTTACGTTGGCGATAAGCACTGCTGAATTCTTTCTTAATATAAATCTTTTCAAATATGCTTTTACACTAATACACATTTATGTAGTACAGTAATGCTTTCACAGTCTACTTTTATACATTTGGATTACTTTACTGCTACCCATGGTCATATTTCTCCATTAATGCAGTTTTCTCTCTATCTACTAGTACTCTCTTCTCTCATCCACCTTCATATTTCAATGTACCGTAATGACAGCTTTGACTTATCAACTCCTGCACATGTATGTCCCTGTTTTCTAGACACTAGGGACTATTCTCCAATATCACACTCATATGCCACTCTTCTTTGTCGCTGTAGTACTATTTTACATCATGGGACTAATCCACTGCTGCATTTCTCTTTAAACAGTCCAGAACCTTCAGTCTTGATCACTACATTAGTTATTTCAATCCCTTTCCACTACTCTTTTCAGCTATACTATGTCATTCTATGCTGTGATTGTTCATGGTTTAACTATTTACATTTCTATTTTTACAGCATTTGATGATCTCATGAGTGCAGTTTGCAAACAGATAGGTAAGTCTTTTGTACATTGACAGTCATCTTTCAGCCTGCTAAATAGTTCCGATTAGTTATATAGTCATTTGAAAGCATTTTTGGTGCCATAGTTGAAAATAATAACAAATAAAACATAATTTAATGTAGCTAATCAGTACAATCACCGGCCACTTTATTAGGTACACCTTGCTAGTGCCAAGAAATTATCCCCCACACCATTACACCACCACCACTAGCTTGGATCGTTGATACAAGGCAGGATGGATCCATGCTTTCATGTTGTTTACACCAAATTCAAACCCTACCATCTCAATGTTGCAGCAAACCAGTCTGCTCATTCTCCTCTGACATCAACAAGGCATTTTCATCCACACAACTGTCACTGACTGGATATTTTCTCTTTTTTTGGACTATTCTATGTAAACCCTAGAGATGGTTGTGCATGAAAATCCCAGTAGATCAGCCGTTTTTGAAATACTCAGACCAGCCCGTTTGGAATCAACAACCATGCCATGTTTAAAGTCACTTAAATCCCCTTTCTTCCCCATTCTGATGCTCAGTTTGAACTTCAGCATGTCGTCTACACCACGTCTAGATACATTGAGTTGCTGCCATGTGATTGGCTGATTAGCAATTTTTATTACCAAGCAACTGAACAGGTGTACCTAATAAAGTGGCTAGTGAGTATACAGTATATTGTAGTGCAGGTCACAAATCGAAGAACTTATACCTGTCCCTCATATGTAATCACTTAAATCCAAACACAGTGAATACAATTATGTTTTCCTATGTTACAGTGGACTCTTAAACTGTCCTAGTGTTCTTGCACATTCCACCAATGCGTGGCATAAACCATCAATATATTATATAATGCAGTTTGATTACTTTTTCCAGCCGACTCTGCCACGCAAGTCAAGATCCAGAGCAACGAGGAAGGCATAAGACTATATTCATTTGTAAACTACTTTGTGGATGATCTCAAACTCAGCTGGGTTCACAAGTAAGTCATCGGATCATCAACTACTATAGTACGACAAGTATAACCACAAATGAATGAAGGTGCACATAGATAATCAGATTTAAATTTCCTGAAGATAATCCTGTGGGCATAGATATGGATAAACCAGTTGCTGCCTAATGGCTATGGTTGACCTAAATTATTTTAGAAATGTGTAATGAGTAAATCTATATGTGCGATGTCTTAAAATATTAACAACGCCAGGTCTGCCTCATTCCTTTCATTAATCTCATGGTCATTTTTTTCGTTTCTTAGTGATGGCAAGATTAAGTACACAGACAGAGTTAAGAGTGGAGTCACTGGAGAGATGATGTGGCTACAGATAAATGAACCCACACCAAATGACAAGGGCAAGTATGTTCTGGAAATGTTCGATGGCAAAGCAACACATACTAGGGACGTTGACTTGTCTGGACAAGGTAAGGACTATTTTATGCATATTCTGTTTCCAATTATCCAGTGTTATATAGTACAATTGTAAGATGCATACTAACCCTTATAATATAATTTTTAAAAAGTGCATAGGCCAAAGCTTTATCAGTCGTATTTAGTATATTGTCTATTTCTTTTTTAGCTTTTGATGAGGCCTATGCTGAATTCCAGAGGTTAAAGTAAGTATTTTGTCCTGTTTACACAAGACACGTAGTTATCAGGTTAATGTATTTAGAATACTGTACTAAAAAAAAATCTGCCATGACAGCTCATTCTATATTTATTTTTTGCTGCCAAAAATAATTTTGATTTTCACATGTTTTCTACTTAGCAGTCCCCCTACAGCCAAATCTGATTAGTGGAGTTCTTGTTTAAAATATACAGTATGTTACTCCAACTGGCACCTAAGTAGTAATTACACTACATACTCATTTGTGAAGTACATGTATTTACTGTATAAAAATAAAGATGACATACTATTATGAGTATGTTATGACTATATCAGTGACACAGATATGCAACAGCTTGAAACAGAGATGATGTGTCATGCCAGCAAGGATGACTGTATAGCTAAGGGGAAATAAATACATTCTTTTCTTACTGATCTGTATGACAGACAGTTGGCAGGAGCCGTCATTAGCTGAGTCCAGATATTGATACAATTCTTCCTTTTTCACAGTTAGAGGGAGTTCAACCAGCTTTGCAGATCTTTCTGTCTCAGTGCTGTCTGTATGTTTATTTCTTGTATGAGAAAGCAGTGACAGGCACTGTAGTGAAGCGTTTAGTTACTGTCTAAATTCTTTTATGATATTCATATATGGATCAGTGTCAGCCTTATGCCTAGTGCACACAGTAAGTTTTTTTCATTCAACCCAGCGGGCTAGACGGAAAAAAAAAAAGGAGGATTCTGTACTAACTATTCAATGTTGGTAAAGCATTCTCCCTGCTGAAAGGAAGGCGGATCCCCCCATCAGAACAAAGTGGTCAGCGCTCGCAGCCATTGGCTGCAAGCGCTGATCGGATGTCGATGGGGTGCTGGTTTTCCAGCATGCTCGTTCAACATAGGCTGGTTGTGAGATCGGCTTCTATAAAACAAGGACCTGTACACATGGGCCACATGTCGGCCAGTTTCTTCTGTACTGACTGATTTTGGATAGTGTCTGGCCTGCGTGTTCAGGATCTTAGTTTTATGCCAGCATTGTGTTAATAGTGCTAATAAATATGTAACCATTTATTTGTATCTGTCATTCCTCACTTTTGTTGTAGAATATTTAAAAGTTTAGTGTGTTGAAGGTATATCAGAATTTGGTTGCTGGTACTTACTTGGCTAAATCCCAAAACACGTGTCAGAAAAGAGCTTTATAAACTTGGGACATAGTGACCCAGTTTCTTTATTAACATGGGATCAATGGAAGAAATGTTAATCTTTGTGTTTTCTTTCTCGCCAATAACAGGCAAGCTGCAATAGCAGAAAGAAGTGAGTAACTGCTTTGTATGTTTGGGTAGCATAATTAGAACACGTAAAAGTTGAAGAATAAAACTTGAAGAACTTTAACCACTTGCCATCCAGAGGATTTACCCCCCTTACTGGCCATTTTTTGACAATTGCGCGGTGATGCAATGCTGCACCCAAATTAAATTTACATCCTTTTTCCCCCACAAATAGAGATTTATTTCAGTGGTATTTGATGGCATCTGCGATTTTTCTTTTTTGAGCTATAAACAAAAAGAGACCGACAATTTTGAAAAAAAGACTATATTTTTTACTTTTTGCTATTAAACATGTCCATGACTGACATCCCTAGTGACACCAATACAGTGATCAGTGCTAATAAAAAGCACTGCTACAGACCAATCTGTCCTGCAGCTGTAGCAGTTCAAAAGTTGAGGCAAACCATTGACCACTGACAGGAGTGCTTACAATGATCAGCTTTTACATATTAATGTAAAACCTTTATCCCAAAAGGAAAAAAAAACTGTTTGTTATAACTGCTTATAAAGTGTTAACTGGAGCTTGGCTTCAATTTTTGTAGTGTGCCTCAATCTGCTAGTACCTCTAATACTTCCCTTCCCCAAATTTACAATCCTGCAGTCCAAAGATGTCTCTTTTTGCTCCTTCATCCAGAGTGTAGGCACCCTAATACAGTTAGTGTGTTACTGGCTGGATCAGCAGGTGAAAAGAGAGAAAGAAAGCCTACAAAATAGAAAACTAATGCAGACATCACATCTAAGAATTGGTAAGCTGCAATGTAGAAACATTTTTCGGTTTTGGGTTTAATACCGTTTTAAAGGAAAATTCCCATGCAGAGTTAAGTTTTCCTTGCAAGATGGGCAACATATATGCTTTTAGTTAATCTACCCCATTGTGTGCATTCCAGTTGGTCCATCGTGCATGTCCTGCACCAGATATATTTTATTCATTCTGACTTTTTCAGAGTGTATATGCATTTCAATAACTAATTTGTTTTCTGTTTTCTTTTATTTTAGATCGTGCAAGAGTAGTAGGAGGTTTGCCTGATGTTGTAACTATACAGGAAGGAAAGGTAAGAGACATATGACATACCACTGAATGTGATAATGACTTGTGGGTTTTCGTGTATGTGTATAACTCTGAAACTGAACCAGTGTTATAGCAGATCATTGCAAATTATGGCTCAAAATCAAACCTTCATCTCAAGCCAAGCATATTATATTCTCTTGGTATATTTTTTTTAAATACAATGAAAAAAACTATTGTATAAAACTGAGGCACACTAAATGAGTGTCAGCCTGATTTGCATTGCATAGTGTTGCTAATTAGATTATTATTATTATTATTTATTTATATAGCGCCAACAATTTGCGCAGCACTTTACAAAATGAAGGTAGACGTTACAGTTACAATATAATTTGGTACAAGAGGAAACAGAGGCTGATAATAGTCCCTCTCTGTTTTTCCCCAATTTGTAAACCACCAATTAATCATTAAGAATGTACAATGCAGTCTACATATAAAGGGTTTGTTGTGTTTTATTTGGATGACACTAAACAATAATACAGGGATGGGTTTGCCTACCAATACTATGAATCACCCTCAATAATTCAGATCAGCAATGAAATGGCTTTTTATTATTGAGAGATCTTTCAGCATTTTTTAGTTTAACACACAGTACCAAAAAATAAACATTCTTCATAAGCTATTTGTCAAAATTCTCTGTTGGCTCCTGCTATCCTGATCTTCACAATAAAAAGGGACCAATGGACAGTGCTGTCTTTAGCCAGTCTGTTAACTTGGAGAAGGGAGGGAAAAGGAGAAAGGAGAAGGGAGGAGCAGGGAAGTGCCTTACCATCCTAGGCTACGGGCTTTGTGATTCCTTTTGATACAGACATTAGGGTGATTTACTAAAACTGGAGAGTGCAAAATCTGGTGACGCTGTGCATGGTAGCGAATTAGCTCCTAACTTCAGCTTGTTCAATTCAGCTTTGACAAAAAAAACTCAAAGCTGATTGGTTTCTATGCGGAGCTGCACCAGATTTTGCACTCTTCAGTTTTAGTAAATCAACCTCAAAGTAGGAACATGCAATTCTAGTCCCTGCATGCAAGGGTGGCTCCAAGAGTAAGAATCCACCCTAAGGGCCAGTTCATATTACATGCATTTCAGTTGCTTTTTTTTTCTGCATCAAAAATGCACAGAAAGTAGGTGATATGGTTGTCAATGTCATAGTTTCACACCAGTGCTTGCAGTTCCAGTGCATTCCGGTTACAGAAAAAAAAAGTAGAAGAGGCTGCATTTTTTCTGCACAGAACTGTACTAGAATGCAGTAAAACGCATCAAAAACACTCGGGAACACACCAATACGCATAAAACATTGCATATGTCCCTATTTAAATTGAAGAAAAAGAGAGGGGTAAAAATGAACTGGAATAAACTAATAAATGAACTGGAGCATAGGCAAAAGTTTAAAGTTAAAGAAGCTGCATACTCATTAAGTGAGTAAATAAAATGCTGAAAGTGCTTAAAAACCGAGGATTTAATGACACTTTAAAGTGTGAGAATGACAAATAGATTAACACAACCTATATTTTTAGCATCACAGTGAAATCACAGTAGGGCGATATAAAAGATTGTGGATTAATTAATAATGACATACATTTTTGCAAACGTATTGAATAAAATGTTTTATTTTTGTTTATTGACCTCACCAATATCATATAATTATGAATGTAATTTAGATGTATTGCAGTGGTTGGCTTCCATGCTTTCAAGCCATCTTGCTCCTCACTGTCAACAAAACATTTTCTGTGTGTCTTTTCCTATGTATAGAAGGGTAAAAAATTCCTTCTTTACTCATGTTGTATGTGCAGCTGTTCAAATGGGAGGTCAGAGAATGGGGTGAGAGCAGTTAATAGTGAAAACCTTTGATCTAATTCCCAATCAAAAATAATAAATGTTGTAGCCTAGCTCTTCAGCTGCTTTACCCTGGTGAATAGTGACAAGATCCACTATGAAGTCATCCAGAGATCTGAAATATTACCAAGGACAGAAAAATTTCTGTTGCTTCTTTTTGGATTTGGCCGTGCCAATAACAAACCCTCAAATGTGATTGTCTTGGCCCTAGAAAGATGAAGTTTTATGAAAGTGGGAGCAAAGCAAAAAGAGAATAAATGTACACCTGCTGCCAAAGAAATAAAAAATCTGAGTGGATGCAACAGCTACAATTCTTTAGATTCCATAAAATGTCTATAATTTATAGTTTCATGACTTTTGAGTGAGACATATTTGCTTGACAGAGGATAAGTGACTCATTTGTATTATTCTTGCCATTTCCTAGGCACTTAACCTTACATGCAATATTTGGGGAGACCCAGTGCCAGAGGTCTCATGGCTGAAGAATGAGAGAGAACTACCTGGAGATGACCACTGCATCCTTAAATTTGAGTCTGGAAAGTATGCCAGCTTCACCATCACCACCGTCGCCACATCCGACTCTGGCAAATACTGCATTCGGGCAAAGAACAAATATGGCACTGAAACAAATGATTTTACTGTAAGTGTGTTTAATCCAGAGGCTGAAGAAACAGAGGAAGAGGCTCAGTCTGATACTAAGAAAAAGTAACTAGATCGACTTTAAAGATGGAGAAATTAGGGATGGTAGAATGATGTTAAGTGCTATAATCATGTGCAAGAGCCACCTTTTCTCAAATCAGTTCTTTGGTCCTACAAGTTCTCACAGTAATCTACAACACCACCTTAAAATAGCCCACCATACTTAATACATTACATTCTGCTGTGAATGAAGATCCTGAAAACTAAACCTACTGATTAGAACAGAGGACTGATTTGAGAAAAGATAATGTATGTGATTGACTCCACTCCTTTAACCTACCTCACTTCTACATTGAAACATAATCCGAGCAGCTTAAGTTTTTTTTTCGCATATAGAGTGAGACAAGCCATTTTGTGCCTTTAGCCAATATTTTATGACAATCCAATCAATTTGCACAAACTCATGACATCAATAGTGCTTGCAAAATCCTTTAGTAAGCTGCTGTTGTCCAGAAAATGGATAGGCAAAATGGCTATGTGAAATAAACTGTGACTAAAAAACATGTACACACCAAAAAATAGTTTATTATTAACGAGTCTATCGCTTCATGTGTTAGTGAGCATCTAATAAATTTGAGGTTCTACTGCTGTTTTCATTGTTTAATATCAGACACAATTAGTTCTACAAATAGATTCCCCCCCCCTATTGATAAACCATTCATAGTAGTAAACTCTCCATCTTTCCACAGGCTTCCTTCACGTATAACCTAAAGGGAATACAAGTCTTATTTAATTATGCTATACCATTTCCCGTTTTCTTCCAACTTGTTTTAGAGCCATGGATGTATATAGGTGTTCAAATATATTTATAATTGAAATGGTTTTGATGATTTATCGTAGTGGAATAGATTCACTCTAGCGTGGTGGTAAAAAAAGACAAAGGAGAAAAAAAAAGTTTGTTGTAGAAGGGGTAGGTTGGTTCTTCAACTGTATCCAAATCCCACCAAGAGGAGTAATAAAGCTCTACTGGGCTCCATAAAATTAAAATATCCGGGCCCCAATGCTACTACCCTTCCATTTTTAACAATATTAATTTTTACACACACACACACACACACACACACACACACACACACACACACACACAATGAAGCTATGGTTTCTGAGGACACCAGTTACTAGAGCCATGCTTCCATACATTTGAGATGGTATCAATAAGGGCTGTAGATGTCCTCTTAGACTCTAACTACATAGCAAAATCTGTTGGTAGCATAACAATGTTATCATTCAGCAACATGGGCTGATATGTCTTTGTCATGCCCCTTATAATACACCTAAACAGACATGAAGATGAGGTGGGTGAAAGAACTGGAGTGGGGTAAAAGCTAGTGTCTATGTTTTACTCTGGCAGTGCACAACTGGGAAGACTTCTATGGGTAGAGAATTCATACATGTAGAATTACTCGGCTGTGTAAAACCATACTGTACTGTAATACCACCACTGCTATATGTTGTCCATTACTGTTAATGTTCATTTCTGTTGGCTGTAGGGAATACAAACTGTATGTGTCTGCTTACTGTTCACTAATAAACAGAGCACATATTTTCATCTCTACCTCCACCTTCGTTTCACTGTGTGTTCTTCTTTTATTCACAAATCCTCACGCATTTCTCTGGTTTAACAGCTATTAGAGTCTCCATCCTGCTCAACTCCACTTTTACACTAAAATGACAATATAATCCTCACATCTTCATTTATATCCACAAGTATTGTCACGGTAAGTTAAAACAAAGCATCCTGGCAAGTTTGTAGCACTTCAGTCATATTTTCATAATTCTATTTTCAATTCACCATTTCACTTTCTAATATCAAACACCACATTTAACTTATAACAGCTTCACTGCTATAAAATGGTCACTGTAACAACGCTTAAAGTGGAGAGACAAACTTTTTTTTACTTAACTGGGGCAGAAACAGGTAAGAGTGGCTAAAGCCAAACTGTGTTTTTTTTTTAATAGAGAAGGGAAGGGTTACAACCCCTATCAGGTTATGTTTTGCTGCCTGTGTCTTGCTTGGGAGATTTCTCTTTACCCTTGTCTTGGAGATGCAATTGGAGATGAGAGGAAATCTCCCCAAAATAGGGTGACTTCTTATCTTAGACTTTTGTCCCCATTGGAAGATTTCCTCTTGCTTTTTACCCTTATAAATACAAAGTTTGGATTAGCCCTGTCTCAGTGACAAGGACTGCAACAGAAAGAAGGGTCAGCCGCATACCGGAGGATTGATGAATATAGTGTATATTATTGATCCATAGGGCACACAAAACACCAGGATATGAATACAGGACCTGTTAATGCATTTCATGTGATCTCGTGCTTAATCATAATAATCATGTGAAACGCGTTAACAGGTCCTGTATTCATGTCCTGGTGTTTTATGTGTCCTATGCATCAATAATATACACTATATTCATCAATCCCTTGGTGTGCGGCTGACCCTGTTGAATCGTGTGTGGTGGCGAGCCAGAGCCTGCACCTGTTGTGGATTTATCTGGATTGTTTGCCTGAGCGGTATACCTCTGTTCATTGGACTCAGTGACAATGACTACCAGAACTAATATAGAGGTCAGTCTTTCAAGGGGCAACACCAACAGCAGTAAAATTTGGCAGGTGTCGAACCCTTTCCCACTCTAAAAACTCCAAGAAAAGTTTTGCTTTTAAGCACTTTAAACTGTTACCACCATATCTGTTCTTGTATTTCTTTACCTTTATTGCATTATAATAGCATCAACGTTGGTGATTCATGTGAGTCCCAGTAAGTGTTTGGGGCAGGCATGTGTGATGTTATATCAGCAACCAAGGAGTACAGTCTCCAACACAGTTCAGGGAGGTGGCCTCTGTATCAGGCCCTACTATTATCGAAACAGTACCCATCTGCCTTTATCTTGGGGACTGTGAAGGCCATGGATAGTGTTATAAGCAACTATGGCTTGTACATAAACCACAGATGCCTATACTGTTAGCCTGCACTGTACAGATAAGAAGGCAAAGTGTAGCTATTCCAGACCCATAAAAATGCATTTATTCTTTAAAAAGCACATTTTCTCCCCATGCTAATTTTGATTACCTGATGAAATGACTGGTTCACTAGTAAGGTGCAGCAATTAACTAAGGACTGTGAATGTTCAGTGATGAGCTGAAAATCTACAAGAAAGGTAGGTAATATAGTGAATGAATGGTGATAGTTTTACGGCTATATTAGTTTTATAAAGGTGTTTGGTTTATTTTGGACATTTAATGAATGAAAATGTTGATTTTTTTTTTAAATGTCTGTTTTAAAGGAAATACCTACATTTTACTACCTTGCTATAAAACAAAATTGTTAAATAGTCTTACACATATTTCTTAAGGTTTCTTTCAGGCTTAACAGAAAGTATGGTTTTGGACAAAATGCACCTTTGTTCCTGCCTGAATTGCTTTTTTTCTATTTAAATGATAAGTTCACCTTTTTTTTTCTAGATTCCAGCTCCCCTATGTACCAATATAGCATTAATGTTCTTCTTTTGCAGAAATTCAAAAGCTTTCCATTTTTTCTACCCACCTTTATATCAGTGTCCAGATGGTTGTACATAAAAGCTTTTTCATTACTTCTGCCTTATTTCCTGCAAAGACTTTAGGTCATGACACAGGAAGGAGTTGACCAACTGACCTCATTAGCATACACCCTGCATCATCTACCCTCCTACCTACCACCCAATTCAACATACACAAATGAAAAGCAATCACTCATAGATCACTGTTCTCACTAAATACATAGACATCATGGGTAATCTGGTGTCTGATTTTTCCCTGAAGCGGGGCACTCGTCAGGGTTGCCCCCTATCACATGTATGCTAATGAGGTCAGTTGGTCAACTCCTTCCTGTGTCATGACCTAAAGTCTTTGCAGGAAATAAGGCAGAAGTAATGGAAAAGCTTTTTTTGTACAGCCATCTGGACACTGATATAAAGGTGGGTATAAAAAATGGAAAGCTTTTGAATTTCTGCAAAAGTAGTACATTAATGCTATATTGGTACACAGGGGAGCTGGAATTTAGAAAAAAAAGGTGAATAAAGGTGAACTTATCCTTTAAGTCAATGTAAAACAGCTTGAAGTAGCTGGATGCAACTTAGGAGGTTTGCTGCAGGTCAGAAGCACCTGTAAAGGAACTCACTTATCTGATATGCAAGCAAAATGCAGGTGAAAGCATGTTTTATTTGCCTATCTATATAATCCGTATTTCAGTTTTCAGACCTCCTCCCCTTTTCTGAATTCACTAATCACATTCACAGGTATTCCTAAATAACACTGGGTGGTTTTAACAAGACTTTCAGCTTCTATAATGCATATCAGATTCACATGAAGTATCTAACATTCATCAACATAATACCAGTATGGAGTACAAGACACAAAAAGAAACAAATATGACTGAAATATAATGTTTATTAACTAATCTTAGTCCCCCAAAGTATTGTCTCATCCTTTACTCCACCTGTTTTTTAAATAACACTTTAGATACAGTTTACATTACAATACATTATGAAATATCATGAACAACAATAGATCTTTAAAGTTTATCTATAGCCCAAACTATCAAACTATTTTATTTAGTTTTGGATAGAGTGGGGAAGGGTTACACCCCTGTTAGGTTTTTAGTGCTATATAGGGCCCTTCTCTATTCTATCCAAAACTAAAAACAAAAAGTTTCAGCTTTAGATAGACTTTCAGATCATGATATAAGATAAATGTATTTGAAAAAGAAGGAAGAAAGGGGATAGCTTCCTCCATGTCCATAGCAGCTAAACTGACATCCACTTCAACTCTGTAAAAGATTATTGCTCTCCATTGAAATACCTGTCTACAGTGATTCATGGTTAAGACACAAGGCAATGGATGGTATCATCCTAAAGCAGTGTTTGTCAACCAGGGTACCACATTACATTGGGGTGCAATATAGGTTGCCCCAGGATGCTACGAGCAGGAGACTCTGTTTGCCCTGGAGAGGGATGAGAGGACTCCAGGGGAGACTGT